ATTTAACCATTGTCACCTCAACGTTGTAGGGCAGTTTTGCTACTCCCAAATATATGATTTTTCAAGCATGTTGCCTTCCTACCATACTTTCTTTAAATTTTGTATGTTATGCATACATAAAACCCCATTAAAATGTATTTATTAACATATTGTATGATAATTGAATATACGGTGCCCCTATTATACATCTAGCTAAAACAAGTAATTTTTAACCAAAAAACACAACCGACTTCTATGCTCATATACAAATTTAGGAAGACCGTTATTTTATTCATGGTCCAATCATCGGAACTAAACCAAATAACGATGGGACCACCCGTGAAGCACCACCTTTCCCATAAAAACGGATTTATTGAAAACGCTCCATCCTTATAATAATATAATTTAAAATTGTTTTCAAGAATAATCGTTATCAGGCAGATTCTGCAATTCACTTTCGAGTGAATGTCAACCAAAGTCACTTTGAAAGTGGTTCAAATTAACTCAGAAGTCAATTGTAGAATCTGCCTGTATATTTGGATTTTTATTTTTTCGATCAATTTTGTTATAATTTATGATTAAAGCATTTACAACGGCCATAAAACGCAGTCTCCATTGTAACAACGGTCAACAATAATCGATAAAAATCCAAAATAACGATAACTTTTTAAAAAATAAAACAAAAATAACGATTTTGCAATGATATAAAAATAAATTTCTTGTTATTTAATAGTTATTGTTGTTGTAGCAGTAGTGCTCAACCCCTCGGTTTCATTATGAGTCATAATCTTCGTCATCTGACTGCTTAATTCTGTTGCACCATTCGGAATGAGGGCTAATGCTCAAAAAACGTATAATTGTAGTTCTAAGTTGCATACTAATATTACGTTCAAATTGGCCCCATTTATCTTGTTAAATGAAAAGAAGCTTTTTGGAAAACACAATCGTCCACATTGAACATTTGGAGTTAACTTTGACGGTTGTTTGATTACCAATAAAAATTCGAAAAAAAAATATTCAAAATCAAGTTTTTATGTTTCAATTTGTTTTATGCAAATGTCTGCTTCATGATATTAATGCATACGGATTATTTAGATACGTCAAAATGGTTAGTTTGTATGCTCTATTTATTTCTGCGTACGACGAGATCTGATGGGGAAATAACTAACTACCGCCTTGGCCTCTTTTTTGGCGGGCAGGCATGCATACAATTTTGATAATTTTTTATATTTTTCAGAATGGCTGCATTTCTTTATTTATTCTGAACGTTTGGAATAAACTTTTTTGTTTACTTATTCTTTAGAACGTTCCTGATGATATGTTAACGTATATTCCAAACGCATTCTGTTTATTCCGGCTGTGAAATGTGATTATCCGGAATGTATAAAGAAACGCAGCCAATATAAATTTTTTGAACGTTGGCGTGTCAAATGAAAGCTTTTGGGTCTTTCTGATTGGTCGGAGCAGAAAGCTTTCTGATACAACTCTGCGCTGAACTGATTTTCAAACGAGTTAAATGATTTAACGGGTTCAATTTTCCAACAACAATTGCATACGATTTTACTTGTTTATGAGCATGCCCCAAGAAGCGTGCAGCCTCTATGGGGTCGGTCCATAGGGGGTTTTCCGGGCATGCGAAGAGATGTTTCGAGTCGTGAGGGGTCTCTGCATGCCGGACATTCGTTCGGCACATCCGCATTTAACCTACTCAGGTAGGAATTTAGCCTGCTGCAGTAGCCAGAGCGAAGTTGGGCTATTGTTGTCCTGGTCTCCCGAGGCAGATGGAGCTCCGTCGCGTCAATGTCCGGTGTTTGTGTGCCTAGAACGGCATTCACAGGTCTTGAGTCTACATAACTCGAGGATGCGTCCCTGTGAATGCCGTTCAGGGCCTGTCTGTGAGCTGACGGGTCCAGAGGTTGCTTAATGAACCTCTGGACTTCATCCGTCAGTTCATATAGATGCCTCCTGACGTGCCTCGGCGAGGGCTCCTCTGCAAGCAGCTGTCTATTTGGGTTGCCACATCTGTGGCTCCCAGCAAGAAACTGCTTTCAGAGCATCGTGTTGTGCTCCCTAATTGCGAGCATTTTCGCCTCATCGTGGAGGTGGTGTTCTGGTGACATCAGGAGGCATCCGGTCGCTGTCCTAAGTGCTGTGTTTTGTACCGTCTGTAGCTTCGTCCACTGCGTCCTACTAGTCCCCGGCGACCACACTGGTGCTGCGTGGTTTAAAACCGGCCGGCCTATTGCCTTGTATGTTGCCAGCAACGTTTCTTTGTCTTTGCCCCAAGTACTGCCGGCTAGCGACTTGAGGACCTTGTTTCGGCTCTGTACTTTATTGACAATAGCGGTTGCGTGCGCAGAGAAGGAGAGAAGGCTGTCGAATGTTACTCCGAGAAATTTAGGATTATTCACCGTCGGAATTGGTGTGTCATCGACGTGAATTCCTAGCGGTAGCCTGACCTCCTTCGTCCAGGTTGTGAAAAGGGTCGCAGAGGATTACGTAGGGGAGAGGGCTACACACTTTGCAGTGAAGAAGCGAGAAAGTTCAGAGAGATATCCGTTTACTTTCGAACATAGGTCATCAATTCCATTCCCAGTCGCCATGATCGAGCAATCGTCCGCGTAAGAGACAATCGAGACTCCCTCTGGTGGTTGAGGGAGCTTTGAAATGTAAAAGTTAGACAGTAACGGGGAAAGGACACCACCCTGTGGAACCCCCTGTTTTATTTTTCTGAGTTTGCTCGATTTGTCTCTAAACATTACCGACGAGTGTCGACCATTCAGATAATTCGCCCACCACCGTTTGAGCCTCTGTGGGAGAGAGGAAGCCTCTATATCTTCTAGTAGCGTGGAGTGGCTAACGGTGTCAAACGCCCTTGACAGGTCCAACGCTACTAGAATCGTTCTCTCACAGGGACGTTAATGGTTAAGGCCACGAGTTATCTGAATGTTTATGGCGTTAAGTGCTGTTGTTGTACTGTGCACTTTACGGAAACCATGCTGGTTTCCACGGTTTGAGCAGTGGGACCACTCACCCCACCTTCCAGATGTCTGGGATGATGGGAGTAGTCATTGACATATTGAGGACCTCCGTTAGGTACGCTACCCCCGCAGGACCCAAATTTTTCAGCATCAGCATGCATATTCCGTCGGGACCCATGGTTTTGGAGGCTTTCGCCTTCCCGATGGCCACCTGAACTTCACCGCAAGTGAAAGCAAGGGGGGCACAGGTTGTTGGCAGTCTGTGCAGCCTTCTGGTCACTCGACGCTTGGCTTTGTCCACCGGAGGATGCTCACGTCCGGGTCCGACGAAGCATGGTCGCCGAAAGAAATTTCGACTCTGTCGTCGTGCTTCGTCGGATTGGACAGTGACTTCACGGTTGACCAAAGCTTACTCACACCAGAGGTGAGTTTGCAGGTCTTCAGATGCTCTTCCCACTTCTTCCGCTTATGAAAGTTTACCAGTTGCCGAATCTCCGCATTGAGATCCCTGATATGGGGATCTCCGGGATCGGCCTGACGAGGGCTATCACGCTCATCGGCTAGAACAGCCGCTTCACCAGGGAAATTTAGACGTGGGTCAGTGATGCATCCTGCCGGTACGAAGCGGGCTGCAGCAGCGGTGAAAGCCCTGCGGAACTTACGTTCACCAACGTGGACGTCGGTTGGTGTGGGGAGGGCAGCGAAGGTGTTTTCAGTAAATTCCGCGAAGCCTTTCCAATCAGCTTTTGAAAAGTTGATATATGTTCGGTGCTCCGCGGAAGCAAAGTCGGTTGGTTTATCGATCGAGATGACTATGGGCAGGTGGTCTGATGCCAAAGTCAGCATAGGTCGCCATGATATGCTGTTTATCAGATCAGCGCTGACTGTTGTTATGTCTGGCGAGCTGCAGCAGCTGCCCATAATCCAGGTGGGTGCGTCGTCGTTCATTGTGCAGAATGTCGAATCGTCTATCTGCTCAGCCAAGTCAGTTCCCCTACGATCGTTTGACAGGCTTGAGTGCCAAAGATCGTGGTGCGCATTAAAGTCGCCTACTACCATACGGTTTTCACCTCTGAGGAGGGCACCTATGTCAGGGTGATATCCTACCGGGCAGCAGGTGACAGGGGGTATATAAACGTTAAATATTTCGAGCTCAACATCGCCTGACCGGATGGCAATGCCCTGACATTCTAGGGTGGTATCCCTGCGGTCGATGTCTGCTTCGATAAGACGATACTGCACGGTGTGGTGCGTAATGAACGCTAAGCCACCACCATTATCCCGCTCGCGATCTCGATGGTGCACGTTGTACCCGGGCCGCAGCTATCAATATGCCATGCCTTCCCATGAAGACGTTTATCTCCTCGATCTTGCTCTGAAGCCCGTTACAGTTAAATTGAAGGAGCTCCATGTGGTTCGGGAGACGTGTGGTGATTCGGGGTGTGAGGGATGTGTGTGGTTGTGCCGCAGTTGGCTGTGTGCGCTGCTGAGGTGGTTGCCGCCCTGTGGTGGTGGCGGGAGGCGTCGCAGTTGAGGTCTGCGACCGAGCCCTCGAAGTTCCTCGTCCAATCTCGCGTGGTGCGCAGACCTGAGCATGCCCTAAAGTGGCACCAGCCAAGGCAGGTGTTGCACTTGACTGATGTCACATTACGGAATATCATGGTCTGACATACCGTGCAGATTGTAGGAGGAACCAGGAGTTGTTGGCGTCGGCGTGTGGGTGGTGGTGTGGTTGTGTGTGTTCTGTGGTCTGTAGCCGTTGTGGTGTGGTCTATTGTGTTATGTTGTTGTGCTGTGATGTTTGTGTGGGACTGCTCAGGTGGACTGGGGTTAGCCGTGGAGGCTGCTCTGTTAGAGCAACAGGGGGCCACAAAAGACGTGGTCCACTGCCGATGTGTCCGTAGTCCTGAGCAGACTCTGAGGTGACTCCACCCCTCGCAAGCATTGCACTTGACAGAGGTGGAGTTGTGGTGTAGTCGTCTCTGGCATACACAGCAGGTGTAGGTTTCTGGTCCTGGGTTTGACTCGATGCCAGCCCTGAGTAGGAGAAAACGTAGCGAATGTAGCTACTTCGCCGACCTAAACGGGGTTAGATCGCCAAAACAACAGCCCTTGGTCGGGTAAAACCCGAGTCATTCCGGTACGTAGAACCGGCTGTCGTGGGAACGTTTTGTTAATTTAACTGGTTCAAGCCCATTTAAGATGTTTAGCTCGTCAATATGAACGTAGTATAACAATAAATCATCAATTTTGTTTCACAAATATATTTTAATTTTACAAAAAGAAACAACGATATTATCAAAACATACCACAAATGGATAATACTTTTCTGAAATTCATCCGCCCCAAAGTAAATTCCACTTTCAAGTTGAAAGTCATGCAGAAGTCGAATTTCAAAATTGGGGACAGAAATCCAATATACATAGATTTATTTCAGACGAAATAC